GGTGAGTGGGTTTCAGGGCACTCAGACCCCAGCATGCCTGGGGAGGGAGGAACCAGCGCTGTGGTAACTCCATAGTCAGACACTTGCATGTGGTCCCACAGAACAGGGATTATCAGGGTTTGCATAGTCCCAGCACATATGTAGTAGATGCACATGCACCTGCTCTATGTCCCTTGGCTGGCAACTTCTTGGAAGAGAAGGCCAGCTATTCCCAGCTGATGTTAATGGTGTGTGACTGGGCCGCACTGAAGCAGGGCTGCCTGATGTGCAGGTGCTTTCAAGAGGGCAGAACATGCAGATACAGTCCACCCACCCCCGAAATAACGTGCACCCACTGCCCCCACCACGGCAGTGGCCCTGGCTGCTCCTGCCCCCCTGCACGCCACAGGCTGGTGCTGCACCCTCAGCTCCATTATTGCAGAGCATTTCCACCACATTCTCCTGCTCTCCCAGCCCTGGCCAAGCACCCGGCTGTGCCTGAGGACAGCAGCTGTGCAGGGGCTGTGGGGCAGGGTGGGCTTTCCAGCTGTGGCTGGGATTTGGGCTCCACAGGGCTGACGGTGGGAACTGGGCTGGCGGGTGGGCACCCCTGCGCTGCCTTATCCACCCCCCTGCCCATGTCACCCCCAGATCGTGGCTGCCCTGGATGCCAACCCCACGACGAAGCGCACCCAGCTCCAGCACAAATTCAAGCAAGTGATTGCGCTCATGGAGGACAACATCTACGAGTGCTGCAGTGAAGCCTAGGCCAGCTGCAGCCCTGGAAGTGACCTTTCCCGCAGCACGGTGCCACAGGGAACCTGCCTTCAGCCGCAGGCACACCGTGGTCATCCTCAAACCAGCCTTGCGGTGGGGGTGGGCCTGGCCATGGCCAAAGGGCTCCCTTGCATCACAAGAGGCCACAAGACACCTTTCAGAGCAGCTCAAACTCCTCTGGTATCCACTGTGGCACCCGTAATTTATTTGCTGTTGCCAGCCAGAAATGGAGGTGTGACACCTGGGGCAAGCTCAGTTCACCACTTCCCTCTGGTCAGCTCCCGAGCAGTCAGCACTCCCTGCATCCCTGTGTGTGCTCCTCAGGACAAAGGATGGGGCTGCAGAGGCTGGAACAACAGACACAAAGCAGAAGGGTCACCTCAGGGAGCAATGAGCAGAGACAGCATAGGCCATCAGAGCAACACCTGAGTTCCCTTCCACTCCATCCCTCCAACATCCTTGTTTTTTGAACACCAGGGACTCTTATCAGCTGTTCACTATCTGCTGCATTCTGTGTATTTTTGTGCCTTTTAATTTTTGTACTGTATGTGTAAACATAACTGCCCCTCCATCTGAGACTTGGGCAACATGAGGAACTTGGGGCTGAGACAAAGCAATTGCTTCCCAAGCAGCTAAGGCATGGTGAAAGCACTTTATCCCTAACAGAGACAGCTGTTTGGGTGCCAGAGGGAGTGCAATCCATGTAAAACGGTGTGGGAAGGGCTGTTCCCCCTTCCCTGGGTTCTTGTCTCTCATGCACAGCAAGCTGGAGGTGCAGTGGGTAGGCAAACAATCCACTGCCCAACCAGCTCATCGCAGGCGTGGTCCTGTCTAGACCAGATGCAGACAGAGGGTGAGGGAAGGACCGTGCCCCTTGCTCCCACCTCGCTGCACTGGCTCAACTCGTGTCTGTGGCACTGCCCCACCTTGGCCCCAGTAACACCTGTCATGCCAACAGGGCCAGCTCCTGCTGACAGCCCTCTGACAGGGCAAACACCAGGTAGCATCGCCCCTTTCTCTGCCTCTCCCCGCGGCCATCACCAAACACTGGGTCAGTGCTGCAGAGGTGTCTCCTAAAGCAGCTTGTTTTGCTTGCTTCAGGCCCAGCCCCCGTGGCTGGTACCTGAGAGCAGCCAAGAAAGGGGGCTTGGCTGTGTGGCCAGCCTGTTTTCAGACCTTAAAGGCAGAGGGACTGGACCCATCCCCTGGTAGCCCAGCACTGACACAGCAGCTCCAGCATCCCGAGCTGCAGACTAAGGTAGAGAGTGTTCAGGCTTAGGCTGGGCTCAGTGAGAAGGTCCCACTGGCAGACCCATGGACCTCATCCAAGACCAGAAACCCCAGTGCCGCCCTGTGGCATTTGCACTGGGGCAACCCCCATCCCAGCTTGGTGGCCCCTTCTCCTTCCTGCAGCCCAGGGAGCTGTGAGCGCTCTGGTCTCCAGTGTCACACAGGCTCCTCTGAAGAGGCTGGATACAGCCAAGGCCATGTGCTCAAAGCCAGCATTCCTGCATGGGAAAAGGCTCCTGCCCACAGGGCTGACCCACCGCAGATGCCATGGTTCAAACTGCCAAATAGGAAAGAAACAAAGAAAAAAGTTACTACCTCACTGCAGGAGGGTGTAAGGGGAGCCTTTGTTAGTCATTCAACTGACAGTGATGCAGCCTGGTATTAGATAAGTGTTCACCAGAAGTCCTCCTGGGTGACTCTCTGCCATGGACAGGTGGCCTCCATTCCATTGTTTCCAGTAATGCCACATTTGTCAGAAACCGCAACATCAGAGTTGTGTATGTGTACATAGATATCTATTTTAAAACAAATGATAGACTTTATCCAGTATGTTAAAAGGGGGGAAGGGAGGGAAGGGAAAGGGGAAGAACAGAGGGTTTTTTTTAAAGAGAACTACAGAAAAAAGTACTTACACTGCGGAGGTCTCAATGTCTTTGCTGAGGATGTGGCTTCAGAATATAAACTCTTAAGAATGTAGCTGGGCTACATTTTATTTTGAAAGTGATTTCACAAAATCTTGAATTTTTTTTTTCTGTTAGAGACTGTGAATAGCTGACAGAGATTTAGGCAGGCCCAGCACAGGGAAGGCAAGGGCAAGAAAGAGCAAGGTAGCAGAGAATGTTGAGTTTGGCTGGAGGCAGGGAAAGGGCCATGGAGCTATAGCCCCATGTTGTTTGTTACAGGGAAAGGATACAAGTGAGTCAAGAGCAAGTAGAGTTTGCCTCCAGGTGCTGTGACTGGGCTGTGTATTGAGGCTATTGCTTTATTATTTAATTTTTATCAAAGAAAAAAAAGTATTTGCTACAACCATGTAAAGGAACAACTTTAACAGAGCAAAAGCTCGAGGGTTTGTAGTGTTGTATTGCCTTGAACCCCCGAGCCCTTTGTAACATGTTTTCCAACTTCGGCACGTGTTGTGGATGTAGTGCCCTTACCTGCTGTGTAGTGGAAGTGGCAAACTCCTGGCAAAGCCTGTCTTTGTAATAAAACAAGGTGCTGATCCTGTGGAGTGCAGTTCCTGCCCCTGTGCATGCAGAGTACACACATGGAAGACACCTGCACAGACAAGCCTTGCATGTATGAGGCACACCATGTGCAGGGTCAGCAGCTCAGTGAGAACCCCCTTGTTTCTGCAGGAGACAGGTTTGTACCTCTCTGAGCTGCAGAGCTCGCTGTGGCCACACAGCACTCCCACAGCACTCCCACAGCTGGTGCCACGGCTCCCGCTGGAACAGGAGCGGATGACTGGCACCCGAACTGACTGACCCTGTGCTGCACATGTGAAGACCAGCAGCCCCACAGCAGCAGCTGGGGCCGGGCACCCTCACCTCTGCCAGCTGCCCAGCCACGGGACAGTGCCTCCCCCAGCCCTGGGGAGCCAGCACCTCCCTGCACTGTCAGACCAGGCTGCAGCCTCAGCACCCTGACACCAGCTGTGGCCTGGGGGCCTTAATAACCATGGCATTGCTAAATCCATGCTCTTCCATCTCCTCCAGTAAAAGCTGCGCTTTCCGGACACTGGAGGGATTTTCTTCTCCTGCTAGGAAGTTGATTCTTAGTAAAGCTAAATCCAGCCATTAAATGACTTGGCCTCTCTCAAGGCAAGAGAGCTGCAGGTTTCACACTGCGGCTGGTGAGGAAGGAGGACACAGCCCCTTCCCTGCCCTGTTGGGATGTTTCCACATGGGCAAGTGGGGCTCTGTGAGGCCACCACTGTCAGAGGATCCAGTGAACTCAGCTCAGTTACTGCTGTCATATTCCCCACCCTGTCCCTGGAGGGACACGAGTTCCAGCTCCCTTAAAGATGGATCAACATAGTCAAGGCTGAAGTTTAAAGAGAAGTTAGTTTGCTCAGCTCTTGCTTAAGCCCCAGAGCAAGGCCAGGAGCCTTGGAGGGCATTGGCAAGGCCAGCTGCAGATTAGTGAAATCCTCTTTAGGAAGAGTTTTACTTCCACTTATTTTCTCCCACCCAGGAGGACTGTAACCCTTTACACGATCAGCCTGACCTTCAGAAGGGCTCTGCTCTGGGCAGAGCAAGAGAAATTCAGGCATTTGAAGCTATTAAATGAAAGTGTCATACACTGACCCACAGGAGCTCACAAGACAGGTTTGGATGTGGGAACTGCCACAGACAGATAACAAGAGCACAAGCTGTGCTGGGGGCTACAGCAAGCACTCCAAACTCATTTTTTGAGTCCTAAAACACCTTTATCTTTCTCTTACTATAGTTAGAGCACACGCAGCTCCCCCCAGTGCTCGGGACCATGGCATGCACCCAGACCTGCCACCCTGGCACTCTCATAATCCCAGCTCAGCCAGGCATCAGCACAAGGGCAGCCAGGAGGGCAGAGGGCTTGACACCTCACACAGTCCACACCAGCAGGACTGGCCAAGCCTGAGCTTCTCCATTCCTGGGGGTGCCACCATGCTGTGTCCCATGGGTCCCAGGGCCCCTGCCCAGGCCATCACTGCCAGCCTGCACACACACACAGCCCCCAAAGCCCAGCGTACCCCTGGCACCACAGCTGGGGACACGGGGACAGACAGGGCACCTCTCCATGAGGGCAGGCAGAGAGGCAGCTGCCTGCAGTACCAACTCACTACCATGCCATGCAGCACGAGGCCAGGGCTGGGAAATGGGAGGCCAGGGGCAGGGAAATGGGAGGCCAGGGGCAGGG